TCTTCTTCTTCTTCTTCTTCTTCTTCTTCTTCTTCTCATCATTTTTCTGTTGTTTGGGGGTGCGGTCGGAAATAACTTGTCAGTGCATTAGCGCCACCGCCTGGTATGGATTGTTGTTTACCCTTTGTGCTGCAGCGCAGCACAGGAGGGGACAAAAGCAGTATCGGTTAAGAGTATCGGCCGGCTTTTACGAGTACGAGTATGAGTTCTTGATGCTGGTATCGGACCCGATACCGATATCGGTATTGGGACACCCCTACTTTTAAACCTTATTTAAAAAATCGATACAGGGCTTTAGAATATCGATACAGTATCGGGAAATGAAATGTCGTGATATTTAAGTGTATCGATATTTTCTTACACCTCTAACAAATACAATGTCAAATTCTTGGTGAGAAATATCTCGATATTTGTGTCTTTTGTTTGTCATTTGAATAGATATTTGACAAATCAGTACATCTTCACCAAATATGGCTGTGGTGAACATTGTAAAGCCCTGACTGGAACACTGTGATGAAGCAGTTTGCCTACACAGATGCAGAAAACATGAACTAGTATGTTTCTACCTTAGTGCTAGCTGCAAACAGCTCACCTTTTTTAGAAGATTCCTAGCTTCTTGAGTGAGGTAAGGTGGAAGGTTGAGTTTGCATTTCAAGATTTTATCAATTGTCTTCTTTCGGTTTTCACCAGTGAATGGAGGCTAGGAGAGTTAGGAGTGAAACAAAGGTTTTTGATACAAGTAAAAACATTTTGACATCGTAGCTATGACTAAAGAACAAATGTACTTACTGCTCCTGTAAGCATGTCATACATTAGCGCTCCCAGACTCCACCAGTCTACAGCTCGATTATGTCCACTCCTCATTAGGATCTCTGGAGCCCTGAGGAAGAGGACGAAGTGTCACAGCAGAACAACAACACTAAAGAAATGCTGCACATATCTGAAGATTCACATATCCACCAGCTACAATCTAAATACATCTGTGTGATAAGCGTGTGTCATACATGTATTCAATGGTGCCACAGAAAGTGTGGGTGACTGTCCCGTCATGAAGGGATTCTTTACACAGACCGAAATCTGTCAGTTTCACATGTCCTGGAAGGTAAAAGGAGAATTAAGTGACACTAAACCCCAAAACAAACAACAACAAACAACAGATTAGGACAGGAAGAGTTTATTCTAAAAACAAAGGATTCACTCTTGGTGCAAACAGGATGGGATCACCAGTGAACATGTGGCAAAATATATCAGGAAGGATTCAAATCCATTCAAACAAATGGTGTGACTTTGTAAGTTTTCTTTCTTTTCTGTTTTTGTTTTTTAAAGAAACTTTCTTTTATATAATAAAAGCATCAGAGCCTGCAGGATGCACCATGAACCAAAAAACACCTGCTTTTCTTTTTGGATCATTTCTTTAGATGCAGCAAATAAAACCACATATTCTTTTACTGAACATACATGCTAAGTTGTATGATTGTCCATAAATTGGGCGATATTGGCAGAAACAATCACAATTATGGCATTTCACCAACAACAATTAATTTGAGAATAAATAGATAACAGTTGCTCTAGTGTTTTTGACTATACATAAGCCACACTGTGTTCTAATTACAAGTCATAAGTCAAACTAACTTCTTCATTTTAATGGGACAAATTAGTCCCATTAATAATAATACTGTGATTCTGTCTGCGTTTCATTAGCAACTTATAAACAGAAGTGGAGAAGGAGAAGGTGGATTCTGATTGGCTGCTGTCACGCACATTTCCACCATGTCTGATCGAGTAAAAGGCTCACAGCTGATCACCGTGATCGACCTGAATTTTTTCTCAATCAATAATCACGATCAAATAATCGCCCAGCCCCAACTGAAACCCACCTTTTCCACAATGTTGAGTGGCAGCACCTTCAGTAACGCCACAAGCTCACGTGCGTGKTTGATAGTGTTGCAAACAAAAATACCTCCTCATATGGCACTAAAGCCCCCTCTCCATTGTCTTTTTGTCTCTCAATTGTCAAGTCTCACTTTATTTTGGTTCTGGTCTGTTCATTTCTGTGTGTGTGTCTCCATGTAAGTGTGTCCCTCACTCTGTGGGCGTGACAGTGGGTGAGACATCAGCAAGTGGCTACAGCTGTTGTGGTAAAAAAATTATAATAAAACACAAGAAATTGGTTATATTGTACGGTAGTCAGACTTTTTTTGTTGTGTTGCTGTTTTCAAGTGCTTGTGTAACCATAGGTGGCCAGGTTGTCCAAAACGGTAAATGGTAAATGGACTGTGCCGCCCACGCAGGCTCAGCCGGTGAAATAGTTAAACGTTCAATGCGAGCAGCCCYACCCAACTTGAAACAGAAGATGAAAGTAGAGCGCGTAAAATTAACAAACGTCGAAAAGAAAGGAGAAAGAGATGGATGGAGCAGTAAACTTAAGGGGGGAAAAAAGAAAAGGTTAGTGCAAGATTCAGCCAAATGTTCCAAATTAACAGAACTTTCCCATGCATGGAGGGACCAAAGTCAGAGAAGCAGTGATGACACAGGACTGAGCAGCAGGAGTCCAGGTTAGCAAACACTGACTACATGTCCTATCATTCAGATGTGTTTCTCAATGTCTAACAGAAATGTTTCACCATATGTGCTGAAATCTTTAATCTGCTTTATCAACAAAAATTAAAATCAGTCCATATGTATACTGACCACAAAAAGGCACATTTCATTAAAACATTTCAGGAAACAGTCTTTGCTCTGTTTCTACAATAATTTAACTATTTTGCTCAAGAAAATTACATTGCAGTGAGTCTGATCACTCTGTGTGTGTAACTTTCCTTATGTTGTAGGTCTATGTGAACCGAATTATTTACAAAAGTGCTGAAAAGGCCAGTTAGTCACAGAGGTGATGCCAGTCATAATCATTCTCATGATTAATCGCACATGATACAATTTTGCCCAACCCTACTGTAAATTACACAGATTTTCACCCATGCATGAATACAGACCTATAGGGCAATCTTACGGCTTTTTTCAAAAACATTCCTTCAAACTTATTTAAGTCTAAGGGCTGGAAGGAAATATGTTTGCCTCTCTGCTTAGTGTTGTACCCACCCTCAACCCTCCAAAAATGTTATGTTCCTTTTGTAGTTTATCATTAATATCTACAAATTTCATTCGTAACAATATAGCTTGCTTCCATTTWGAACCATATTGTGACTGAACTGCTCTAAAATTCAATAAATGATCAAATATGAAGTATTAAATGATAACATGAGCTCTTTAAATAATATAATCCTTTTGAAAGATAGTTTAAAAAAGAAATCAGTCAGTCTAACAAAAAAAATTGTAGCTTTAAGTTATTTTGTGCAGTGTGAAAGACATATTTGGTATGTTTTTTAATATAAACTTATAGTACATACATACATAAAGTTTTTGTTTGCATTGAACATTTTTAGAGTTGGTAAAACAACTCTATAAACTGTATGACTATATCTGACTCAAGTCTTGCCAAAAATGTGTTTTTTAATAAATACATTAAAAACAATAAAATGACACATGTCAACTACAGAAAAGCTGTTCAAAATCAACCTTTTCCATACAAATCTCTTTGGTCCAAATGGTTTAGGATAAATGTTTTGTATAACGCTGTATTTGTGTGTGTGGTGGAGGTTGGTGGTAAGCGTTATTGTGCATTTATCGTTCATTTATCGAGGTGAATTGGTCAATATACTGTGATATTGATTTTAGGCCATTTTGCCTAGCCCTACTCCTCGCCCTCCCCTCCCTGCTCCTCTGCCACTGCAGACGCTGTTATCTTCACCCCATGTCCTCAATCTGTGGCAGACAGTCCGCTCCACCCCCTCATGGTGGACTCAGGGGATGTTGCTGCCTTGCTGTTATTAGATCTAAGTGCAGCYTTCGACATCTTAGATCATGGCTTCCTCCTGTCTCGGTTGGAACACTGTGTTGGTCTTAGGGGTACAGTTCTGGCATGGTTCAGGTCATATTTGATGGACAGGAGCTACTCTGTTCATTTAGATCACTGTTCCTCTGCCGAAGCACCTTTAAAGTATGGAGACCCTCAGGGATCAGTTCTGGGCCCTCTTTTGTTTTCACTGTATAAGCTGCCTCTTGGACACATTTTTAGAAAGTTTAAGATTTCATTCCATTTTTTTTGCAGATGACGTACAGATTTATATGCCTTTAATTGGGAAAAATAAGGATAATTATTTACAGTCTCTATTAGACTGTTTAGGTGAAGTGAGATCATGGATGGACTCTAACTTTCTCCATTTGAATGATAATAAAATTCAAGTCATTTTATTTAGACAGAAAAATGCTGGAAGTGACCCTGATGCAATCCTTGGATCTTTATCTCCATTTTATCAGACAGCTGTTAGAAACCTTGGTGTTGTCTTTGACAGCTGTTTGAAACTGGATAAGCAAGTGAATTCAGTTGTCAAAWCAGGCTTTTTCTATTTACGTCTTTTAGCCAAGGTGAAGTCTTATTTTTGTTTCAGAGATTTTGAAAAAATRATTCATGCTTTCATCACAACACGTTTGGACTACTGTAATTCATTGTATAAGGGCATAGATCAGCCCTCCCTGCATCGTCTCCAAATGATTCAAAATGCTGCAGCCCGACTTTTAACTGTTACACGGAAACATGTACACTTCATTACACTGGCTACCTGTATCTTATAGAATTGATTTTAAGATTTTAGTACTAGTTTTTAAAGTTTTGAATGGCCTTACTCCAACCTATCTACAAGATCTCCTTCATGTTCACTCTTCATCCAGAACACTGAGGTGGAACAACCAGATGCTTCTTGGTGTTCCAAGATCCAGACTTAGGAGCACAGGTGATCGTGCTTTTGCTGTATCTGCTCCCAATCTATGGAACAACTTTCACATTAGATCTGCTCATAGCTTGGAAAACTTCAAAGTGCTTCTTAAAGCTCACTTTTACTCTAAGGCATTTAATTGATACTAGACCTGACATTGTAACTTTTATCTGTTCTTATTATTGTTCGTTGTAACTTATTATGTATTTAAGTAATTTTTGTGTTGTTTATAGACTGCTGTGCAGCACTTTGGTGCAGCCATTGGCTGGTTTTAAAGAGCTTTATAAATAAAGATTGACATTGACATTGGTTGTATTGTTAAAGAGCAGTATGATTTTTTTGTTAAAATTACAGATTTCTGAGGGTCAAGATACAAGTAACTGTCTAAAGAGATTGACATGTTGACCTCAAGTACTGGATCTAAGCAGAGGCCTGACACTAAAGCAAAAACCAAATGATTGATTGATTAAAGAAATATATAATTGAACTGTCATCCTAACTGGTCATTTAAACATTAAATGTTAATAACTATACACGACTGAAAACTGTCAACCAGMGGAAGTTGCACCAAGCTCTACAACACCACAAATCATTTGTTTCTTCAACCTTTTTTATGTTGTGTTACATAAGCTCATAGAAACGTTAGAAKAGTTTTACAGTAATTGTATCTCTGGTAAATAATGAATTGAAAATGAATAAAAATATAGTTAAAATCACAGGGATGCTTTCAGGATCTTACAGAAACATGGAGGCTCCTAATGTTGCTCTGCTAACAGCTACAGTGGTTTGCAAAAGTATTCATACCCCTTGAACTTTTCCATATTTTGTCACATTACAACCACAAACATAAATATATTTCACTGGAATTTAATG